CAAGCATCCTGGATGGGAGAAAACAGCTTGGGATGGCATCGAGCAGACGATCGACCTGTTGAATGAGAAGAGGATCAAAGTCGTTATCAATGGTGGTGCGCACAATCCGAAGGGGTTGGCAGAGAAGGTGCATGAACTCGTGAGTCTCGTCTCATCGATGTAGTCGCTACATGGTCTAGTTAATTGACAGACGAGCAGGTCTTAAGCAAAGGATATGATCTGAAGGTTGCGTATGTGTCTGGTGACAACCTAATGGACGAAATGAAGGATATCAAAGAGAAAGGTTTACCGCCGCATCTAGATTCTGACAACAGCGAGGTAACGGTCGCGGATCACACGCTCGACGTCCTGAAAAGCGACAAACCAATCGTCAGTGCGAACGTCTACCTCGGCGCCCGCGAAATCGTCAAAGGTCTCGAAGAAGGCGCAGACATTATCATCGCGGGTCGCGTTGCGGACGCCAGCCCTGTAATCGGTGCTGCATGGTACTGGTACTCGTGGCGTGACACCGACTTCGACGCACTTGCAGGAGCCCTTATTGCGGGTCATCTCATCGAATGCAGTGGCTATGTAACAGGCTCGAATTTCGCGGGTTTCTACGAGTATCCGCTGGATGACCTGTACGACATCACTTTCGGCATCGCAGAGGTCGAAAAGGACGGAACATGTGTGATCACGAAGCACGAAGCTAGGAAGGGTTTTGTCACAGAAGACACTGTCAAATGTCAGTTTCTATATGAGCTTCAGGGCAACGTGTACCTGAATAGCGATGTCAAGGCTATCTTGGATGAGGTTCAGGTCAAATCTGGAGGCAAGAACAGGTACGCTCGAATCTCCTTCACTTAAATGTCATGCTGGTAGGAGCAATCTCGCTAACGATCAGAAAGAGTTCGTCTGTGGGGCGTCAAAGGCAAACCACCCCCACCCACCACGAAGCTCGCAATCTTCTATCATGCAGGTTACCAATCCGAGATTGTCGTCAACGCAACCGGGTATGCCACGGCTGAGAAATTCGATCTCTGGGAACGCATGATCAAGTTTGGCCTGAAGCAGAAAGGCATACTGGACAGATTCGACATCTTGGAATTCCAGCGCATAGGCATGCCGGAGGCCGACCCGAAGAGCCAGCTCAGAAGTACATCGTATTGTCGAATCTTCGCGGAGAGCGGCGATCCAAACGTGAACCTGGGTCTAGCGAGTCTACTGGCAGACTTTGCGATGCAGCACTACTCTGGCTTCCATAGTACGATGGACCATCGTACGGCGATACCGAAACCGTACTTGAGCTTCTATCCAGCGATTTGGCCGCAAAGCAAGCTAAAGACGGCGATCAATCTTCTCGAAGCTGGCGAGACAAGGACGTTGACGACCACGCCGCCAGCGCTGTCGGAAGAGATTGGGAGGCGCGAAAGCTATGAAACTGCGAGTCCCGTGGATCTTCGTTCTTTTGGCCCAATGACGCGTGCGCGGCTGGGAGACATCGTGCTCGCCCGCTCAGGCGACAAAGGTGGAAACGCAAACATTGGCTTCTTTATACCCACAAGCCTACCTTCCTCCTACCCACAGTCATCACCCCTGTATGCCGAAAGCTGGGACTGGCTCCGCAGCTTCCTCACCATGCCCAAACTCAAGGATATGTTCGGGAAGAGCTGGAACGACAGCTTTTTCATGGAAAGGGTGGAGTTCGAAGGTATCATGGCGGTACATTTCGTGGTTTATGGGGTGTTAGGCAGAGGCGTTAGCGGAAGTAGCAGGCTGGATGCGTTCGCGAAAGGTGAGTAATTGCCGATGTACGAACTGCATGTGAGACAAACACTGACTTCGTACACCGATCTTTAGGTATGGGCGATTGGTTGAGAGATGTGGAAGTCGAGGTCCCCGTGAAGTTCATAGAAGGAAGGGTCCGCGGCAAGGCTGTGGCTGGAAGGTATGCGAGGGATGCGTGACTGAACAGTCTGGTTGCCAGACTTCCATCGCGTTGAAATCGCGCGTTTGTTGGAGCGCGACACGGGCATCATTGATTGTGGCCGGGGTTTAGGCTTCAAGGACCCTGCCAAGCCACCAACGATGACGTAGACGGGTAGGTGACAATCAACCCGGGGTTTGTTGCGCGTGCACAGCCACAACCGGCCACCTTCGCTACATCATCATTCAAGTGCGCCCGCTTTCCTAGTATGTGACTCAACAATACTACACACCCCTGATCAGCATTTTCTCGACTACCTTCTACTTATACCACAAATTAGGGTAGGGCATTTTTCGGCATTGCTCTGAGTTTCCAGCCCCACCATGTTCAAGAAGTTCAAGGACAAGATAAAGGGCGACGACAGCTCTTCAAGGCCGTCATATGGGACAGATCAACACAACCTGCATTCAAACAACCCTTACTACAGCTCACCCCAAGACCAACAGCATAATATAGCGCCGACGGAGAAGTATCAAGCACCGCCTGGCCCGCCGCCGAACCAAGCTTCATCCTCGTCTGGGTACTCCGCTCCACCAGGTCCTCCACCGAGCCACGGGTCGTCTTCTTATACTGCTCCTCCAGGGCCTCCACCTAAACAAGAGTTTTCAGGTTACGCACCCCCAGCAGGACCACCTCCTTCGTATCCACAGCAACCCCCTCCTAGCTGGGATCCTCCGCCATACCACGACTGGACAGTCGTACCTGACACTTCGCTTCTACCTCCACCACCGTCGATGGGCTACGATAGTTCTCCCACTGCTAATGCATCTACTGAAGATGGCGATCGTGCCTTGGCTTGGACCAACATGAATCCTTTGTGGCCACCGCAGAACTTGCAGCCTAGCACTCATGCTGCGATCCAGAATGGGCAGCTTGCTCTGCTGAAAGCGCCATCCTACCTGGGAGACTTACTCCCTCAACCTCAAGCAGGCCACTGGCGTTGTCGCACCCACGCGAACTGCAGGGATTCGAGTATCCTTACAAATTTACCCATGTACAGCGTGTTTTGGGACTCACCGCTCAACACACAACGCTCCAAGACTGTCTACTTTGAACTCAAAGTCCTTGGAATTGGTCGCGGTGGCTTCTCCTTCTCGGAAGCAGACGCCGGCATCGCGATAGGCTTCGTTGCGCCGCCTTATCCTACGTTCCGTCTCCCAGGCTGGGAACGTGCCAGTCTTGGAGTGCATGGAGATGATGGAAGAAAGTACGTTAACGATGCATGGGGTGGTATCGACTTCACCTCGGCTTTCAAGCCCGGTGATACTGTGGGTATTGGTATTACCTTCTCGGTTCCGCGCAACCCACCATCATACGAGCAGTCGCAACAGGGAAGGATGTTAGATATCGACGTGTTTTTCACGCGTAATGGAGTAAAGGAAGGTGGCTGGGATGGCAACGAGGAGCTCGACGTACGAAGCGAGGGGGGCAACACTGGTTTGAGGGGCGAGTGCGACCTATTTCCGGCGATTGGCGTGTTTGGCGGTGTGGATTTCGATGTCTTCTTTCATCCATCGCAGTGGCTTTACCGCCCATACTGAAATTACCTGGGTACTTGATCAAGGCTCTCAGGTAAAGGCAGTATGTCATTTGCGGTGAGATAGACGTCATGCGACCTCATTCATATGCCGTACGACTAATGCTAGTATATCTTCTAAGCTCATAGCTCGCTTGCTGAGCTCTCTATTTCCTTCTGGGGGTACATTCTCTAATTATAATCCATTCCTGATATCGCTCCGATACTCTTCAATCTACAGCCGCTCGCCATGTCCTCAACTACACCATACACACCTCAGGACTTTGGCTATCCGTTGATGCTCGAAGACTACATCCCGGTCCCTCCTCTACCCACTGCTGTTGTAGATCATTGCGCTTCCTGTCGTACTCCTGGTGCGAAGAAGATATGTGGCCAGTGCAAGAACATGCTCTACTGCTCGCCAGCCTGTCAAGAACGCGACTGGCTCTCCAGCCACAAGCTCGCCTGCAAGCCCTACGCCAAAGCCATCAAACAACCCATTGGCAAAAACATGCGGCGCGTTTTACACTTCCCCGCCAATTCAGCCAAACCTATCTTCTCCGTTCTGGCGTTCGACGAGGAAGGTACGGTAAGCGGCCTTGACTACCATTTCCCCGGTGTGCCGGCCCAGGAGATCAAGAAACTATCATTCCACAACCGCTACTTTCCGTATTTCATCCAGATCAATTACGACATGAATGTGAAGGGAGAGCGTGCACTCTTCGAGAACAAGAGCCTTGGACTGCCGTTTCGCGGTCCAGTCGTCGTCTTGGCGTATGACCTGGACATTGCGCTTAGTGGTCCAGCGTTGAACGCTGATGCCTCGATCATGCGGCCATTGATGGAGTACGTTGAGCTGTTGCGAGAGTACGATGGACCGAAGTTCGTGGAGGTGAGTTGTTGAGGGAGCACGTTAGACCGATGTCGCTAATTGTGCTTTGCAGCAGCCGCAGCAGAGGTATACAGAGGCAGAGTTGGACATTATTATGGGCTCGGCATCTTCGTCTGGTGAAGAAAGGGCATGAGCTAGTGTGGATGGAGACGAACAAGTCAGAACTTAAGTATAGGAGAAAAAGAGCTTTACTGGAAAAGTAACTGCGGACCTTTCATTGGGTTGTCCTCTTGTTCTCTGGCATATTGAAACTTCCAGATTATCACTTATGGAAAAGGTAGCTACAATTCGAAGCTATGCTATGCCGCCACGCCAACCTAGGAAAAAGCGGAACACCCTACAGTCTATGTTAACGGCGTGTCACCTACTTTGCACGCTTTTGACTTGATGTAGTCTGCAGAACTGTTCAGTTTTGCCTTTGAACGAGATGCCGCAATGCCCATTACTATACTGCTCATTCCTCATAGATGCTTCAAGATAAGCTCTACCTCTGCATCTGCCGCCTCCAAGATGTGCTTCGGCTCATGGTCTGGTCTCCAAGCTAAGCTATAGGCCCTCTTCGCTTCAAGTGTGCATCTGTGTCTGGTGTCAATATCTGGTCCATGCTTGTGAGCATACAAGTAGACTCACTTCCCACCCAGCTGAACTGCAACAAGATCTTTAGGGCAAGCCAAGGCCTGTGCCATCTTATCTAGCGCTGCTTCATCCGCTATCTTAACTTCCGGGCTGTCGATGATACCACGGTTCGCAAGCGCTTTCGCCATTGCGGCATATATGTCGTACCAGGCCACACTTCCGGAGGAAGCAAGATAGTACCCATTCTCGCCATATTCTGGATTCTCGTCGCGTAGAATACTCTTCAGCAATTCCACGTACAGTTTCGAGTTGTCGTCGATATGACATACGGGCCAAGTCTGAGTATATCGTCAGTATGCGAGTGGTTGGCTTGATGACGATTCAATAACACCTACCCAGCCTTCCGGGTTGACATCGTACACGGCGCCGGCCCCCTTCGCGGCTTTGACCACAGCTGTGGTTTGGATCGAGATTTTGTTACCAAAACCTTTGCCTTCACCGTATACGATACATGGGATGAAGATATAGCTGCGAACCCCATGTTCCTCCGCTGTTTCGATGATGACATTGTTCGTGTTCGTCGCCTGAGGTCATTTGAGTAAGAGAGATTGACCTTGAGCCGCGTGCATGTAGTTGCCTCATACCTGCGTTAAGAGTTGATGAGGAGCCTTGGAGCTCTTTTGTAATTTGTACAGACCAGCATCTGTATCGGGAAGTGGTCGATCGATAGGCATCCCCGCATGTTCGCTGAAGATCTTTGCGCCACTGGTGTGCAAATAGTGGACTTCGCGTCCAGTTTGCTTCTTGACTTCTGCGAGGGCTTTTATCATGGGAACCTGCATATCGGAGTTCATAGCGTCAACGAGGAAGAATATGACGGATATCTGCGCATCGACGATGCTCTTGATCACACTCTCTTCATCTTGTAAATTGAGAGTGAGAGGGCGCGCGCCATACTTCTTCACCGCTTCCGCTTGGTCTGGAGATCTGACGAGAGCATATATGTCTTTGTGCTCTGGAAGTTCGTCGTTGTGCAGTGCCGCAAGCAGCGAGCCACCGAGATACCCAGAGGCTCCCGTGATAAGGACAGACATTGTGGAAAGTGAGGCTCAGTATGAATGTGTAACCGATAGAGTTTTGTTCTTACATGAAAATGTGTTTTGTATCTCAGGCCTATATCAAGTGGTGCTAGAGATCAATCGTGACATGCTTTGTAATGTCTGGTTGGGCGATTGAGCGAGTAACCACTCAACGGCTATCTCGACGAAATGACGTAACGCTTACAAACCGCCAGTGGAGCAGAACTAACCCTGGAAACACCAAACGTCGACAGTTGTAATATTCGAAAAGAGGAGAAATTCTTGTTGGCCGACAGCAGTAGGCTCTCATCAATCTTACAGTTTGATTCGTAACACGGTAGCAGAGCAATGCAGTACACAGGTATCCCTGCATATACAACCAGCGATTGGCATCTCTGTTGCATCCGGTGAAGAGTGCGGCGAGGTGAGTCAGACACGCTTGGTTCGGACAGACATGATACGAGCGAGTGGGTTGCAGTACTGGAGTAGTATCGGGCGTGAATGCGATGGGCAGCGACGAGCATCTAGCTGCATCCGGCGAGGCTGCAAACACGGCGGATACAGCGCCCCCTGTTCTGCCATGTTGAAAAGACGGTGATCGGTCGATGAAGAAAAAGGATCACCCGCTTGTGGCGTCGTAATGCCTGTGGAGGAGAAGGTTTGCTCCGCCAAACAGCGGCTGTCTTGCTGCTGCGCGAGGTCTGAATCTCGTTTGCTCCCATACAGCGTGTCTCGGGGGACGTAGATGTACAGGGTTGGTACGAGGGCATGCAGATGGGTTCAAAGGGCATGTGGCCCGGGGCGAGGCGATGGGAATCTCGGCAGATCGGCATGTGCGAGGGGAGGTATGAGATGCATCTTCGATTGTGCCCCGTGCCCACATGCAATCGACGCCAGTACTGGCCGAAGAAGCACCGCCGCAGCCAAAACCGAAGCATCGCATGGGAATAAGATAACCGGGGCCTGACCGCGTCAGTCTGCGCAAACGTCGATTCCTTTTGAGGATGCTGCAGCCACTTTGTATCTCCCTCGCGACTGCCACTTCTGCGCCGGCAGCTACATGCAGATGCTCACCCCTCCCCCAGACGAAGACGGCTTCGGCGCTCCTCCCATGAACCCCGACGATGAATGCGCATACGATGATTGGACCGCGGCGCTACCTCAGACCGACCATATCGCCTTCTTCCGCACCACGGACTGGTCGCGCAGCCGCCTGGGGCCACTGAGCACGTGGAGCCCGACGCTGCGCATGTTCGCAAGTTATGTACTGGCCGATTCGCGCGGAGCCTGCCTCTGGTGGGGAGAGGACATCTCCAACCTCACTGCCATATACAACGAGGCCTATGCTCCCTTGGCCGGGGGCGCTCACCCCAACCTCATGGGCTCCCTCTTCCAGGATGGCTTTCCCGATCTCTGGCCGTCCATCAGCCAGTACTTCATACAGGCCAAGCGGACAGGCACTGGGGTCAATTATAGCTCGGCCATGCCCACGGTTGTCGAGCGCAAAGGCTACCAAGAGGAGGCCTTCTTCTCTGGCGGTTTTGTTCCAGTAGGCATGCCAGGCGCTATCGAGGGCTTCATGAATACAACGTGAGTTACGTGTAGTAACCAAGCTAGAAAACGCGTTTCCCAGTGACCTATTTCCAATACACAGCTGACCCAACTAGCTACGAGGTAACAAGCCAGAAGCTCGCAGACCGCCGTACCACCTGCCTGAATACGCTCGCCTCCGTGCCCTCACAATGTGTCGACGCAGTCTGCTCTCACATTCTCACCACGCTCGAAGCCAACGCCAACGATGTGCCCATGTCCATGCTCTATCGAATGGACTCAACCCCAGGCTCGAACCAGTTGATACTCCATGGCCAATTTGGTTTCCCCGAGGGGCACGACCTTCTTGTCCAGACAGCCACTATAGACAGTGAGCAAGGACTAATACCAGATCTGCGACGGGCTGGCACAGACACTATGGTTATCGAGCATGACGAACGATTTCTCGCTACCTCGTGGAGAGGTTGGAGCGCGCCTTCCAAGAAGATTGTCGTAATGCCCATCATGAGTGGAACACGCCTTTTCGGCTACCTCGTCTTCGGCACCAATCCATTTCGCCCCCACGACGATATATGCACGCAATTTATCCGGGACCTAGGTCGCATGGTGTCAAGTATCATATCTTCTGCCGTTGACAATGAATCCACCAAGAAGCGTCAAGAGCAGCTCGAGACTGATCTGGCTTTCAGTGATCTCAAGCTACGCCATCTGATTGATCACGCGTCTGTTGGCATGTGCCATGTATCTCTTGACGGTAATATGCTCTGGGCCAACGATCACTACTATGAGCTAGCTGGGAAATCTCCTTCGGAACATGCCATCGGTCTTGCCTTTCTTGACGCATATCACGAGGATGATCGGTTAAAAGCTGATGATGTTTGGGAGCGTCTGATTAGAGGCGCCGACCACGTCACAGCCGACTTGCGCATGAAGCGCATGTACACGCCTCCTACTGGGGATCCCGAGCCCGCCCAGATCCAGGTTCTGGCCTTCCCGTACCGCGACGAGCATGGAAGCGTGAGAAGCGTAATGGCTTGTACGACTGACATTAGCAGGCTGTGCTGGGCGCAGACCTTCCAGGCTCGATTAGCCGCCGAAGCAAGAGAAGCAAAAAGACAGCAGGAAGCCTTCATTGACGTAGTTTCACACGAGATGCGGAACCCATTGAGCGCCATTGTACATTGCGCAGATGCGATTGCCAACGCGGTTGTCGAGTGCCAGACGCAGCTCGCCGATATACCTGTACCGTGTCTCGATACTCTCAATGACAACATACAAAGCGCAAACGTCATCATGCAATGTGCAAATCATCAGAAGCGTATTATCGACGATGTACTTACTTTGAGTAAGCTCGACTCCATGCTCTTGTCCATCACGCCCGTCGCAGTCAAACCCGCAAAGCTCGTGGAATCCATCGTCAACATCTTCCAAGCTGAGATGAAGACGCACAACATCTCTTACAGTGTCACACCTGACACGTCGTTCTTGAGTCTAGGCATTGACCACCTTCATCTGGATCCGTCCCGCGTGACACAAGTCTTCATCAATCTACTGACGAATGCCATCAAGTTCGTCAAACCATCGAAAGAGCCAGCCCTCTCCATCCGCTATGGCGCCAGCACCTCAGATCCCCGCGAACTCTTTCCGGAAGACATGTTCTGGGCTACTGAGGGCAAGCAAGACGGGGATGTTACAAGCAATCCAGATTGGGGTACTGGTGAAGAAATCTATCTTGCGTTCACCGTCAAGGACTCGGGAATTGGCTTGCAAGAGAAGGAAATTCACAAAATATTCGAGCGCTTCCGCCAAGCGAACGTGAAGACGCATGTCAAATACGGCGGCAGTGGGCTGGGTCTATTCATCTCAAAGGAGCTTACTGAGAAGCAAGGCGGCGAAATAGGCGTCTCATCCGTTCAGGGCCAAGGTTCGACTTTTGGATTCTACGTCAAGACGCGAAGAGTAGAATGGAAGCCCAGGACCCTCAAAGAGATGTTTCAACAAACCGGCAATGAGGAAGCGGCAATGCGCCAACTCCACGTACTGTTGGTGGAAGACAACATTATAAACCAGCAAGTGCTCGGCAAACAACTTAAGAAAGCAGGATGCCACGTCTCCGTCGCAAACCATGGCCTGGAGGCGCTCGAGATACTGGAGAGAGAAACGTTTGACATCGTGTTGATGGATCTGGAGATGCCGGTACTTGACGGGCTTGGCGCGATGCGCGAGATACGGAAAAGGGAGGAAGAGCAGGGGGTGCTTTCTTCTGCACGGTTGCCTGTGATTGCTGTCACGGCGAACGTTCGGAAAGAGCAGATTGATACTGCTATTGCTGCTGGAGCAGTAAGTATATGATGACCGTCGAAAGCGTTTCTAGGCTAACAGGCTGTCCAGGATCGCATCATGCAGAAGCCATTCAAAGCGGCCGACTTGGTGTTGATGATGAAGTCCTTGATGCCACAACTGGCACCTTTATCCATCGACCCGCCGACACCGGGCCTCGGCCTTCGATCTAATGCATTGGTGCCTTGAAATGAACTTCTTTGGCACTTTGCTTAATTCATTGGACATCTCAATCGTCGAGTCTAGAAGTCTCTACATTGTCTCGTGTCCCACCTCGAAGCGGTCCCTGGAGTACCTGATTTGAAGCTGCGGGAAGGACGAGAATCATGTGTTCTTGTTGTGTAGTCCGAAGCTGTGCACCAACTTCTGTGCATATCACATTGCTGTCGGGATAGGCACTCGGCGTCTGGTAGCACGCATGCGGAATGATGGAGTTCTAAACCAGTCACAAAAGTTTTCTACGAAACATCACCAGCCAGTCTAAGTCTAGCTGCATTGCGTATCACAAGATGGTGCTTGACGCCGGAAGACTACGTCTCATCGGCAACCGAGCAGTGCGGTGTGCAAGGACAGGCGAAGGAAGATGGGTTTATTGGAGAGCGGTAGGGTTGATGCACGAAGCACGAAAATAGTGAACCCTGTTAGGGATATGGTCTTTTGAACCCTTTATTCTCTCGAGGAAAATGAATATCTTGCAACATGCTTCCATCTTGATCCAATTTCAAAGACTCATCGCCGTGCCGTGGACGCAGATGGAGACGTGCCGGCTCAGATCATGACATACTCAACCACCCAAAGTGCAACTCAAAGTGGTGGCAATCGGATCGTTACAAGACGAGCGCGAGCACAAGAAGATCTTGACGATGAGGCCGGGTTCGGCGGTGATTATCCAGAAAGTCTTGCTTCTAGCTGTCGTATACCATCTAGAATTGATACTAACAGGCATAGACTAACCCCGTCATAGACTCATGACGCCAGCGTCGCCAATACCCGTCGTGTAAGAATTAGATCGAAAGTCTTGGCCACTACATTTGTTTCTGGCCGAGCCGTGAGAACGGCCCTTTTCACATGCTGTCTTTGGAACATAGATATGCCAAGACACGAGATCGACCGACGATCCAAAGTTGAGATGTGCGGGACGGGACCTGCAGTAAATAGCGGAGAATAACAAGGCCGAGATTGATGTTTTGATGCGCCGGCCCGGCTTCTTGTTTGTGGTGATGCCTGGTGATAACAAACATTAATTGTAATTGTGAGTATGCCGATCGCTGAGTGGCTGACGCACTTTGGTAAACCACCAGGAGAATACACTGGCCAGGCTATCGCTAAAGGAAAATGACAAAGCTCAGGAGGAACGAGCAAGGGTGCAGAGTTCATGCTGCTGTATGAACCCCCACAGATCTTTGGGCAACAACCTAAATCCTCAACGCGGCGATTTGACGAGGACGCTGCTGCAGATTCCGGAGGTTGAGACGTATATTGTGGCGATAGAGGCTATAGAACCGGTGGATAGGAGCTATCCGGAAAGATCTCGGTAGTGTTTGTATACATTGCATGGTGTTGTTGTTTGAGGATGGCGTAGCGGCTGGCCTTAGTTGGATTCCTAAAGAACCGGTGTCCCGTATGCGTCAGGCTACGCCATCCCTCCCAGCATGAAGCCCGTAGCAGGTGCCACACGTGGCTGTTATTTGCGAGAAGCACAGGCACGCGTCTGAGCCCATTCACCGCTCGCTCCGCTCCGGCAACTACGTATGGGTCGGGAGATGCCGCATGTCCGAGTGCTTCATGCGTCTGTCTGTGCGATGAGGGGGAGATGCTAGAGTGGCTTGGCGCAAGGACGCGTACAACTCTGCTTTGTACACTGAAGCTCTTTCTCTTGGTGCATGAAAGCGATAAGGTGGTGGTCGTGTGTCGGCGGGCGCGTCGCTTTGTTGGAGAGGAAGGCGTTGGCCCGAGCGCCAGAGATCGTCCGGAACGGAGTGTGGGGACTCATCCCATGTTCAAAGACTTTGCGACCCGCGGGTAACCCACGCAATGCATGATAGCCAGTTCGGAGGGTGCCAATTGCGCGCTCGTTATCCGCGCTTCAGTCGGCTCGAGAAGCTTGTCGCGGTAGCTGCATTACATCTGCAAACCTGAAACACCGTCTTTTGCTGTCTGCACACCGGGTTAGCCTAAGCCCCGGACTCTCAGCCTTCAAAACCACACTTACGCACTCCTGAGCAGCAAACAAGCTCGCGCTGACGTCCGTCAATTCTTGTCTTTCATCGCTCAAAGACTATGCCGTGCGCCTGTGCAGGGGCAGAAAGGTTGTTATCTGCAGAGAGGCCATAAATGGCGAACAGCAAGTGAGTAATCAATAGCTTTTCGAAGCGGGTGGGGAAGCTGCCGCCAACGTCCAGAGCTGGCCGCCTGCACAAGCTCACCGGACCTCAACTAACGGACTCCAGATTCGAATACGTGCGCGGGTTCGAGCAGCCCGACAATCTAATTCCCAACACCTGGATTGTAGTACGGATAGACGGACGTGGCTTTTCCAAGTACGCTCACCAATTCTCTCTCCCTCACTTGCGCCGTGGCAAACTTTCTTGGTCCGGGATATGCAGGTACCCGTCACCATGTTGCATGAACGGAATTGCTGCCCCAGGCCAACATCTCGGCTATTGTACACCAACAAGGGCCATTGTTAACAACGCGCGAACAGGTTCACGTCCAAATATGAGTTCCTCAAGCCAAACGACAAGAATGGCCTCGATGTCATGAATGCTGCGGCTGTAGCGGTCATGAAGGAACTGCCCGACCTTGTCCTTGCATTTGGCAACAGCGACGAATACAGGTATGTTGCATTCTTTTATTCGAGCACGTTGTGTTTGAGATTGATTATGCCTCCATCGAGCTGCCCAATGTTCCCAGCGCGGTATACACAGGGGTGGGGCAGCATGTTTCGGGGCGGCTTAGCTGACGTGGGTCGCAGTTTCGTCTTTCACAAGGACTGCGCCTTATTCGAACGACGAGCCAGGTACGGGAATCCTCCTATTGGTGCAACTTTATCACCTCCGGTGGTCATTCGTCTAGAACTGATCCCCGTTTAGCAAACTGACTACGACGATTGTCTCGACTTTCACTGCTTACTATGTGTATTCTTGGTCAACATACTTTCCGGATAAGCCACTCACAGCACCCCTACCGACATTCGATGGGCGTGCGGTTTTATACCCAAGCGATATCAACCTTCGACACTATATGAGCTGGCGGCAAGCCGATTGTAAGTATTTTGATGCATCACCTTCTTCCTGCCGTTTCTTGTTAGACAGGATCTTTTGCTTGCTCTTGGTGTCGGTCGTAGAGTGGCTCTGACCATCGTGCAGGTCATATCAACAATCTCTACAACACCACTTTCTGGACCCTTGTTCAGCAGGGTGGCATGGGAGCGCGAGAAGCAGAGCAAAGACTCAAAGGCACAGTGTCATCCGACAAGAACGAGATCTTGTTCAAGGAGTTCGGAATCAACTACAACAACGAACCAGAGTGCTTCAAGAAAGGCACGGTGCTGTACAGAGATGTAAGAGATGCTTCAGCACCATCAGCATTCACGTCCACGTATCTAACCGTGGCAGTTTTTCCCTACACCACCGACCGAGGCATTGTCGTCACCCGTGCTGTCGGACTTCCCAACGCCACCAATCGCTCAGCCAACACCAAAGCGAGCGTCCAATCACCGGGCATCACAGTCTATTGAGAGGTCTATCCCCTATCTGCCGGACAAAAAAGAGATGATGGAGAATCCAGGCCTATGCAGACGTCCAACCTTTCTCTCCACAACATCGACGCCATCACCGCCGCCATCGCCACCTACGATTTCGAGATCAGCATTCCCCAACCCACTCAGGTCCAATCCGATTGGCTCCGATGGTGAGGGTAACATGCCAGGTTCGTCCATGCCGCTCTCCCCGCCAACGACTGCCACCTGGAACAACAATGGCTCCTTGAACGGCAAGCAACATCTACCATCGTTGACGCCTTTGCCGCTGTCCCCACCAATATTGAAGCCAAGCAGCAAGCCTCCGATGTCATTGAGCCAACCGAATCCGACAACACGTACCAACTTCTCCCCAGTGACACCGCAGGGCGATTTTCCCGCAGATTTTCCTATAGCAGGCTACCGCCACCATGCCACTGCAGCGGCCAGCCATGGATTCTCCCACTCAGCTTCTGCTTCTTTGACACATTCATACCCACCTCAAGTGAAGCCTTCGCGTGCCAAACAACGATCGCCGAGCCAGCCTTCTCTGCCTTCATATTTTGCATCATCTAGCACAACTGCAGTGAAGCCCCCGTCTATACCACTGCGAATATCCAGCATTCCTGCCAACAGCAAGCCGCGGAAACTGTCTTTACCGGTCCATCGATCAACGTCAACACTCAAAGCTACGAGAGATACTTTGGATGAGAAGGAGAGCATCGTTAGCCCCCGAGATGCGACATCGACGCCGCCCCGCAAAGTCAGCCCGCCGATTCAAAAGAACAAGGCTCTACCCAGTCCGCCAATGAGCGCAGAAGAGGAGATGCGCACGCGAGAGAAGGTCAAAGGAAACAGCCCACGGCAAGACTGGAGCAAGTACGCCATCGACGGCACTGAGTCACCTCAGCGAAGGCCGAGCGACTCAGACAACAGAGCGGGTCAAGGCTGGGGCACCCAAGACAACATCTCCCACCCAGGTATTGCAGAACTCCACGCCTTTTCCACACCCACACAGTCTGCGCCCACATCAGCAACCTTACCATACCCTCATTCAGGCCCCGATCTCCACACCCTAATCTCCTCAACATCCGCTGCAGGACCAAGTTCCCAAGCCTTTCCCACCAGTCGCCCGTCCACCAGCAGTCGCAACAAAGACAGCAGCACACACAAACCCTCCAAGTCCAACTCTTCAAAGGCCAGGCCGGATAAAGGCAAACAACCACAGTCGGAAACGAATGGTAAGGCTGCAGCTACTGCGCCTCAACAGGCGAATGAAGGATGGCCCGTACCCATGAGTCGTACGCAGAGGGATAAAGATAAGAAAAAGCGGAGTAAGGCGACGGTGCTGATGGAGCACGTGGATATCATCAAGGATGACTTTTGGGAGAAGAGGCCCTGGATTCTGAGTGGGAAGACGGGCTGAGTTAGCGGGGCGAGGTGATTTGTTGACAAACTTCTGCTTTTGGTAGGTTTTTGTCTTGTCGATGGGCTTGGTGGGTTTTCTTTCCCTTCTCCACTGACGATGACGATTTTTACGATGGGGTTGTTTGTGTGTATTGGTGGAACGAAGCAGTGTATAATAGCGGGGATGAGACGATGGTGAAATGTAAGATGTGGATGCTGTTCATGTTGTTTATTTGAGTGATCGAATAATATTCGTCTGTAACAACATCGCGATATTGATATAATACAGTATTCCGCACGTACGTCATGCGCCTAGAAATCCTAACTCCACAACGTTGCGCTTCCCGGTCAATTCTCTGCTCCGGTGCTCTTGTTGTGGCCCTTGTCTTGCATTCAGACCGCGTTCCCTGGGGTAGTCGTCAGCGGCCCCTACAGACTTGGGGATCACTCCTGATGATTATGCCCGGCTCATTGAAGATGGATCGGCAGCATATAGCCCCTCGAGCCAGGATCCTTTTACTTCTGCTCTCCGGACAGCTCCCGCACAGCTCCCACATGCGCTTCACGGGTCGATCGGCCCTGAAAAGGCTGCGAGCATCCTGCGCCGACCCTGAGAGTGGTGTGATCGTCTACTGTTCTCTCCATCTACACCATTGTATCTTCGTGCTTATTGCGCCTTCTTGCTCTTCTTCTCCTTCTTATCTGACTTCGATTTCTTCTCCTTGATCACTTCGACCGGCTTGGGAGCGCGCGTTTCTGTCTTCTTCTGGATGCGACGGAGGACGTACTGCTCCAGTGTCTGGCCCTTTGCTTTCGCGCGTGTCTCGTAGTCGGCCTTTTCTTCGGGTTTCAGCTTCGCAAGCTTCTTCGTTACGGCCTTCAGGTCTTTGCCCGTGACTGCCGCCGGACTTTGTTCATTCTTCAATTCGACCGCGTCGCTCTTCGCCTTTTTGCTAACCGAAGCGTCTCCCTCGTCTCGCTTGCGCTTCTTCTTCTTCTTGTCGGATTTCTCCTTGGTAGGCGCGGGCGTTTCGGTGTCGGATGCGGATGTGGGAGGCGTGCTTGCGCCGGAAGCGGGATTCGATGCGTCTGTTGTAGTCGCTGAGGATTCTCCAATCGTACCTCCAATCATCTCGCCCTTTACGAAGAAGCCATAGAGACCTCCGCGATAGATGCCTTGGGTGCGGATCTGGTCAAGCGTGCTCTGAGCGGGGAATTAGCTTTTTGATCGCGCGCAGTGGTGCGTGACTGCATACATCCTTGCCTGTACCAATGCTCTGCAGACTCTGGTCGAATGCGCGCAACCACCACTGGTCGTCTGTCGTATGCGCCGCCTTCTTCTTGCCGAGTCCTAGCTGGTCGTTCTTGTGCGCGATGAGAAGCGGCTTCTTGATGCCGCGGCCGGTCTGGTCGAGCGAGTGACCTGAGCCCTGCCAGCCTTGCTTGCGCAGATAAGCCTCGGCGTTCATGGCGGCGGAGGTGAAGGACTGATCCCCAACTTCGCGTCTGGAAATTTTGGTGGGGAAGTCTTGGCTAGCGCGACCGTCCAGAGCGGACCCCCGGCCGTTCATTCCCTGCCTACCTTCCTCCTCACTTCAAATAGCCCCAATCTTGGGTGGGCTGGTATTGGGGCCGTTCGTCCTTGTGTTTCTGTCGGAATGGCATTAGATTTTGCGTGATGAGGAGATTGTAGGGAATTGAGACAACACACACGACTGCTGCATCTGAGATAGGCGGCATCGACGTTACAACGTAAAGTATCAACAATACCTGAGTTGAGTTCAATCGGCTCTTTCCCATAATGCCGCTCGCTCTTCACTTTCGACCCCATTGGGTTGTAGGGCCCCACGCCCCTTCCTGACTCTCGCCCTCGCTATCTGCGTGAGCAAGTCTTTCACTCTGGTCTCGCTTCCTTTGCCTGCAATGCACTCTCACTTCGACTGATCTTGCTTCACCTTCGGCTCGACTACCTGCTACCTCTAAGTGCACAACTTACAACATCCTACTTAACCGTTATGGCTACTTTGAAGTCTACCCACTTCCTCTGGCTGCTGGCTTCAACAGTTAGTGCCGCTGTGCTTCACAGCAGGTCCGCGCCCTACTATGCAGGTATCCAGTTCGCTGCGGATAGACAGTTGTCAATTTCCGTCTTCAGTGATCTCCACTTCGGTGAGCGTAAGCCATCACATCTCTCTACGTCGTATGAACCTGGATTCATCATATACTAACCACTTGAAGCTGAGTCTCAGCGCGGCCGGCCATTCGCAGACCTCAAAACAATCGGTGTCATGAACTCAGTCCTCGACAACGAACAGCCCGACTTCGTCGTCCTCAACGGCGATCTCCTCTCCTGTGAGTGGGTGGCCCCTCAAGACGCAAATCCGTTGATCGATCAGGTCGTGGCTCCACTCGTCGCCCGCAACCTGCCTTTCGGCGCAACATTTGGCAATCATGATGCTTCCAAGACTTGCAGCACTAGTGCCATGTCCGAACACATGTGGTCGGACGTCAAGGGCAACAATGGCAAGAAACTCTCTTTCACGACGCAGTCTGTGTCTGGCGATATCAATCAAGTTGGCTGGAGCAACTATTTCGTCCCGGTGTACAGCTCTACGGATGCTTCTGATCTGAAGATGCTGTTGTGGTTTTTTGACAGCAAAGGAGGCATGAAGTATCAACCCACTGGTGATGATGTCGGTGTTCCGAACTGGGTCGACGAGAAGGTATGAGACCCTTGTTACTGATTTCACAACGTACTGATTCTTGCAGGTTGTCGGATGGTTCCGCAATACCAATAACGCCCTTCGCCAGCAATATGGCCGCGCGGTTCCTAGCATGGCTTTCGTGCATATTCCGATACACGCCGCAGATTCTTTTCAACATAACGGGCGTTCCAAAACAGCCAACCCGGGCATCAACGAGGAGAGTGTAGGAAACCAGGGCGACATTTGCGATCATACTGGGAACAACTGCAAGTACAGTGGAGCCGACATTCCCTTCATGAAGGCGCTCGTAGAGACGGAAAACCTCATGGCCGTTTTCTCGGGTCACGACCATGGTGTAGACTGGTGCATGAAATGGGCCAAAGACCTCCCTGGCAACTCTCCTAGCAACGGCAACGGGCTGAACATCTGCTTCAATCGTCACTCAGGCTACGGTGGCTACACTGATTGGACCCGGGGCGCGCGTCAGATCGTCGTCAAGGAGGATATGCTGGATGCGAAGGTGGTCGACACGTGGATCCGTATGGAGAACGGTAAGATTTCGGGACAGGTGTCGCTCAACTCTACTTTCGGTACCGATCAATATCCAGTGGTGGACAGGTCGAAGACCTCATAGCCTGAGCTAAAGCGACCGAGTCTGCAGCACCCATGAGACGTTGGACGCATATGGCCTCTGTCTATCTCGCGTTATGTGCTATATTGCACACTGTGCAACTTTTGGAAAAGTATGATATCTATCATCCTAGTTGATAGCTCAATTCAACATGACTTAAATTGAACGCCAGCAAATTCACGTCATGCTTGATGTGGGCCGAGTGTCTGCGCTCGTCAGGGACGGCGAAGGGGTATCGGCCCCACTTACGCGCTCCACGGGAACCGGCCCATGACATCATCGGCATTCTCACAAAACACCAAACACTACAGCTAGGTCTCCCGGGCGCATCCGCACAGTCTCGCCAGCGGAGCAAGCGTTTCAGGCGGGGCCTCCTAGCGCCTGCTAAGCATGGCGAAGCATTTTCGGCCGTTGCTCTTCGCGATCGCTGTATCGCTTTCATCACCCTGAGGCGTGGTCCTACCGCGTCCGTTTTGTTACGCGCTTTTTCTTCTAAGATACCCTCGATCACCCTTCACACCACCGCTTGCCATCGACCATGTCTTTCCTTGAGCGTCAAAAGACGCGCATCACGGGTGACGAAGATGACGCCCGTCGACACAGCATCCTCAATCCCTCGTCCTCGGGCAAGATACCCAACGCGAAGAAACCACGCACGAGACCGCCGGCATCGATACGCGATCATCTCCCTTACCCGAACTCGACCCTCTCTCCCACTTCAGGACCATACTCTATAGGCAGCATGGAGATAGAAGTTCCCGTCGAACACCCTCGTCCGATCTCCAACATCAAGCGCAAGGGCCGGCACCTTCTGCAGTTGGAGACTGTTTTGTTTACACTATATTACCCAGCCTCGTTTGGGAGTGGTAACGGGAACGCCCCAGGAGGAGAGAAGAAATGGAGTCGCGAGACATGGCTTCCAAGGCCGCGCATGGAGACGGCGAAGGGTTATGCGCGGTTTGCTGGCATACCGAGCCCTATAAGCATCGGCGTCTTTGGCGCGACTACCATGCTCACCAAATTGCGCGGTTTTAGGAACGCCCCTCCTGCGACCCATTGGCCTCCGGAAGGCAACATGAAGAAAGACGGGTATGAGATCAAGAACCAGCAGGGTAGTCCGCCCGAGGGCATGAACGATGAGCCCATGTTCCCACTGTTGATGTTTAGTCATGGTCTTGGTGGCTCTAGAACCGCATACAGCAGCCTATGCTCTGAATTCGCGAGCTACGGCTTCGTCGTGTGCGCGGTGGAGCATAGGGACGGGAGTGGACCGCGGACTTTCATTAATCACAAGAAGCGAGGGAAGCGGAGAAAGGATGCCCAAGGAGGAGGGAAAGCGAACCATACGGATTGCGACGGAGACGCAGAAGACGACAAAGACTTTGCCAAGTTCCAGCATCTGGATCACACTGACGAAGAAATTGCGCAAGGTTATCACTATGTCGTGCGTAGTGTGAGGTTCTGTAATACAGGTACTATTAGGCTGACTATAGCAGGACTACATCTTCCCCAAAGATAACCCGATGGACACCGCACCGAACAATGAGCACGGCGTCGACGGCGAACTGCGCAGCGCACAGATAGAGCTGCGCCTTTGCGAGCTCGAGGAAGCATACCGTGTACTCAAGATGATATCTGACGGCGATGGAGAGGAAATCGCACGACAGAATCTCCGTGGCGAAGGCTACGTTGGAGGCTCTTCCAGAGGTCTGGGCGGAATCGATTGGGCACAATGGAAACATCGTTTTCACGTAGATAAAATGACAGTGGCTGGTCATAGTTTCGGAGCAGCAACAGTGGTAGAAGTGCTCAGGCACACCGAAAGATTTACTAATGTGCAAGCGGGGATAATCTACGATATCTGGGGGTGACTATATCTTTCTCCCCATCGTTACATTGGAACTAACACATTTGTAGCGCGCCTGTAAAGCCACCTGTGGAAGACCCGAAGCACCGAATACACCTCCCCCTGCTGGGAATCGCCAGTGAAGCGTTCATGTATTGGCAGAAAAACTGGGATGCGTCCATGTCCCTGATGAAGGAGGCCAGCGAGCATGGTGCCCCTGCGTATCTTCTTACGGTCCGAGGATCCGTTCACATCAACCAAAGCGACTTCTCGATCTTGTATAAGCATGTCTCATCGTTGTTCATGAAGGCCACCGTCCATCCGCAAAGAGCTATTGATCTCAACGTCAGCACCAGCCTCGAGTTCCTCCGCTTGGTCACGCCCGACTCGGGAGGCGGAAAGTCCATCATTAATCGATGTATGACAGATGAGAAGATTCTGGACACGCCTCTTATGGAAGACATGCCCAACGACCACCGACCGAACGACCAGTGGATAGCTGCCCGACTACGAGTTGACAATGAGTTCAGGAAACGGTTAGCTGCTGGTCTGCAAAGAAAGTTTAAGCGCAACTTTCAAGGCGGTATGGGCACTGGATACACGACTTCTGATGAGATGTGGTGTTTCCATAAACCTTCAGAGGAGGATCTGCAAACATGGATCAAGGCAGAAGACAGAGGAGAAAAGCGCATAGATGAGGATCGTGCTATTTTGTCGGCGGAGGAATCTCGGACTAGTCATCATGCGGCTGCCGATGCGCCTAGATCTGCAAGCCCCTCCCGGAGAGAGGCAGACAGAAGCGAAAGACCGGTACGGGAACATGAGGCGGAGGTAAAGGATGCAAACAGTCAGCAAACAGGGCATGGGGTTCGAGATAGATATGATGATGCGGAGAAGAACACTAGTGGGGAGTCTGGGGGTGGGCACGCAGCGGCCGCTGCAGAGCAGGGCGAAGATGAACAATCGAACAACTGGTTGGGCGTCGTGCCGAAGCTTAGACACGGTCCAGGGCAAGCATCAGCATAGATATACAACGTTAGATTATGTGATCATACACAAGCTCTAAATATCCTTGACCGGGCTAGTGCATTGGTACCTGAGACGCATGGAAGTCGTGATTGTGACATCGTCAACTTGTAAGTTGGACAGTCTCGTTCACTCGTTCATTAAAACATTGACGTCATGATCTGTATATTCTAGGATCTACGTTGTTCCCGGTGCCGCGTCGCCCGTATGCCGTATTGACTTGGCTGAAGCTACCCAAGGAAGCGCCTGCCCAGGTATCGCGCCCTGAAGCGTAAAGGGGGCCGTTTGATTTACCAAGCTAGAGAGGTTTAAACAGCTTATATAATCAAGCGCTGACAAGAAACCAGCTGACAATGAAGCGAGGGAAAAATTTATAACCGCCAGCCCTGCAGACTGCTGACAGGAGTCACCTTGGTTGTCACGTGCAGCTCTTGGCATGCGGCACTTGCCGTTCCGGGAAATTTGTTGTTCAGTAATCATGCTGCCAAAGCCTCCCGAACTGCACCAGAGCTACAAGACGCACAACGAAACAATTGGTCACACCCAGCTACTAAGGTCCGACGACCTCGGTCTCAAACATCTCACCATCAAGAATGTCTAGGATAGGGTTGCGAGTTATAAATTTGCACGCAAATGAACCCACGTAGATGGGACCACAACGCCTGCAAACCTATGGTCATGAACCCACCCGCCCACGCACTCGTCCGCCTCTTCGCCCTACAGACAGCAGGAACTAGCCGCATCCTGTGCGGAGACGCGCATTAGCCCCGTGTAACAGCGGACCCTTGATCGATCTCGAACCTTGTGAGCTGTAGCGGCCGTTCACTGAATCGGCGCCGGAGCATCTTTTGCTTTTCCATACCTACCGTCTGGCTTGCGTCAGGTTGAACTAGTTCTGGATGCAATCTACATGTACACAACGTCTTCCCGCTATTTTTACGCGAACCAAATTACTCCATTAAGAATCTGTACGAAGCGTTTGCGATTTTCCTTACAAGTGAACGATAGCGGTGTTTCAAGAGTCGGAACGGAGTGATTAGTAGTCCGTGGAGACCGACTTCGGTTCAGCATCCTTTCGCCTTTCGTAGTCAGTCTCGCTATTGGTTCCACCGAACTCCTTCGGTGACATACCTCCGGACCTTACTCTGTTCGATCAGCGGTATCAGAAGCGAAAACCAGAATCATGACGAGCTCAGAATCAGAACAGGCGCAGACATCACGGAAGCGCTCACGCAGGAGGGACAGCGGCGATGACGGTGGTGCTGGAGGAAAGAAGGCTAGGGGCCGTCCACGGGTAGACACACAGGACGCCACGGCTGCAGATGTGAGTGGAGACGCAACGTCCTTTTTGTTCTATCTACCCGATTCGTCGTTGTCAACTCTTGGAGCGGGAGGGTAAACGGGACATGCGCACCTGTCCTGATCGAAGAAGCTGTCAAGTCGTTGATGTGTTCTCCAGCTCGACCCACTGTGAGCTCCTCATCGTCATCCCCACCTCCTGTGAACGACGCTGATGAGCCTGCCGTGCTCCAGATGACACTACCCAGCATGAAGCTCCTCGCGATCCGATCTCAGCATTCATGTCGAATGTACTGACAGGTGTACCAGAGACGAAGAACTCAAATCCGGCTTGCGCAGCGTGCATATCGGCAGCGGAAGGAAACCACCATCGCGTCGTTGAAGAGTCAAAGCACACAGCTCCACTCGATTATCGAGCAGATGAACAAGGCCTTTCTAAAGCTAAACGAGTCCACCGTCAAGTCAGGTCTGTTACAGCTGAATCCGAGTTTGGCCCAGGAGTTCAAGCTGGTAACGGAGACGTTCGCGAGCTTGACAAAGACAGCCAACGAGGGCCAGTACGAGGGAGACGAAGATGGTGAACACGGCGAACACGGGATTGAAGGGAATGGTGCACCAAAGCTAGCCGAACCGGAGCCTGAAGTGCAGCACATTGGATGGGGATACTCCGCAGTTCCGAAACCAGCCGCTGAGAAGCGTCCGCAGCCACAATTGTCGACACCGGATAGCTACCTCGCCCACATCAGTGCTGCATATGGCAATGTAGACTCCCGTAGAAGCGATCTGGTGGGTTGCCGTCAGTTTGGAGCTGGTTCGGTCTTCGACCAGTCGCACCGATCTTCGCAGCCTCCAGCAGACCCATCACCATCGCATACTTCATCCCAACCGACGCAGCTGCCTTTCGGGCTTGTAGACCTTCTGAGTCAGCACCAAGCACCGTATGGAACAACAAACCTACACACGTACTCCGTCCGTGTACCGACGCCTGAAGCGACACCGCCATCGAACAGACTGCCCACGCCGCCTCTATCGAAAATATCGTCGAAGACGCTCCCTCCGGTCACAACGTACAGTTTCCAAGAAACAACATTTGCGAGACGATTGTCGAGGGCGGCGCTTGAGGCGGGGTTTCATTTGCTTAGCAACGCCCAAGCTCGCCCTACGGTACGTTTTCAGCTAGTCGATGTAGGAATTGTTTCTGTGGCTTCACTGCCTTTTCTCCTGAGTAGTGATACAAGGCTAATCATGGCAGCTAGGCAATCAACCGTGTCTTCAAGCTTTCTCTACCTCATGAGACCCTCGATCAAATACGAAGCCGCTTCCGAACTATCATGGCCCGTGGCATTGACGAAGACCTGGATTGGTGGGAGTCGCCATTCCTCCATCTCGGTGGTGCAGGAACTCATTATCCGCGACGGGACGCTGCCGGCAACGTAAAGTCTGTCAGAAACGGATGGAACGTACGGCAAATTGGGCCAACAGAGAACAAGGTGCTCATAATAGAGAATACAGAAGACGGTAGGAGTGAAGAGCTACGCGGCGTGGACCTCCGTGGATACGAGGGGGAATGGTTCGATTGTTACGACGTACAGGGCTACTTGGAAGAAAGATACTCGTGCAAGCTCGACCCGAAGAGCTCGTTCGCCGAGTGTGTTATCGACGTTGACGACGAAGAACTGTCCAGAACCCCGAATAGTACACTGCGGCAACGGCCACACAACGCGACGAGTCTGCCTCCTCTTCACCAGAACTCCGCCAACGGATCGGCAGCTCCGTCAACCACCTCGACAAATCCGCCAAACAACTCTTACAACATCGCGGATAGTGGATCTTATGGGCTAGACCTGTCTTTTGGGAACACCGGTGAATACCCTAGGCTTGTCAACTACGAAATCTCATATGATCAGACCCTGGGTTTGGATCTCGCACCTGGGTATGATTATGGGTTTTCGCATACACCCGCCTTTAACATGGACAACATAGATCTGGGCATGAACATGATGAGCGATGTAGCGGCAGCTCTACCAGTGGTGAGGCAGAAACGGAAGAAGACTGCCTGGCTAGACGTTTCGAAGCTGATTGATGGTGAGTGTACACATTTACGAGAGGTCAACAGTTGGCTGACAATCACAACAGAGATCATTATACATGGCGTGTGTCTCGGGCGATCACCGGGGTATAGGCGCAAGGACGTTGATGCAGCGGTACAAAAGGCTTTGGTGCATGACCATTAGCCGGTAGCGATTGCGAGGAGCATGCCGAGATACCCAGGTGCGATTCGAGTGCAGTGGCGGGAGTTTTGCTTCTTATGGGATGCAGTTGGCTGTTTGAGGTACAATTGATGAACTGACGACGCTTGTACCAACATTTGAATCGATTCGTATGTATATTGATCATGAGCACTACTATATTTCGAATCTGCCAGAACGTTGCATCGCGTACTTTGGATGTTGAGCTGTGAGCGTGGTCACGTGTGGCGCTAGAGTAGCGTTAGGCGCTAAGGAACCGGCGCCCTCAATGATTGCCGGGACGCCGCTCACTATCACTCATACACCCACGACCCCGAAAGCTGAGGGCACCCGAACACGTCGTACAAAGCCTTCCGTCTGGGCTAGCGATATCCGTAGAACTTCCTTGACCGCGCAGAAGCTTCCTCAAGCGCGCACCTCTCTGCAGCCTCAAGCGCTGACGTCGCCTGCCTGGCTTGCCTGCCTATTCCTCAATCCTCTGCACGCGAGCAACCATCACAAGCCGTCGCGCAGCTATCACAGAGCTCGCATCGTATACTAGATAGCTCAGACCATATCAAACACTCGCGATCATGTCGAACTCGGTCGTGGTTAGTATCCCCAAGGCGCGCATGCGAGCGGTGGAAGGGTAAAGGCAGGCTTGCTAACAGCAACCACCAGGGCGGCGTGTACCAGCAGATCATCGAGAAGGTGATCCAGACCTCGCAGAATGACTTCGAGGAGTCGGGCGTCGATCATAGCACGCTCGACGAGATGAAGCAGGTATGTTGCAACCTGGCCTCCATCTCTGCCAGCGCGCCTTCCTTTTCTTTGTCGCAGCACATCTGCGACTGCCGTCACACCGCTTTTTACATCTCTCACTTTTCTTGTCAATTCATTTCTCGCATCGGTTTCGCTGGCTGCGGCGATCGCGCGGTGACCGCCTGGCTTGGGTGATGGGCGGCTGGAAGCGGGGCGGAGTTGCCGGTCGGTCTGGCAGCTCCGGGGGCGCCTCAGTATTTGAGATGCCTTCTTATAGCCCCTGCACAGCTCCCCCACCCGCCAAGACCAACGCATCATTTCCCAACAAGGCATAGTCTGTCATGTGACGGCTGTTCTCACATCAAGTTTTGTTGCAGTTGTGCTGAGCATATACTGACTATCGCTAGGGCTGGCAAGAGAGGCTATCCGCTCTCAAGATTGCTCACTTCCCATGGGACCCTGCTCCTGAGCCTGTTCGTCAGCCGCCTACGGTACCGTCCAACGTAAAGGTTGACAATGATATGCCTTCCGTGTCCGGACCTCAGGAGGCTCTCAACTTCCCCAACGTGCCCGTGAAGCAAGAAGGAGGATACCAGCCACCAGTTGCTAACTACCCTCCTGCTCAGACTGCGAACAACGGCTACGGCGGTACTTATGATCAAAACCAGCAGCTCGCGCACCAGCGTGCAGCTGCTCTGGTACAGCAGCGAGTGCAACAGCAAGGACATGTGCAGCAGAACTTTCCCAATCTGGCGCAACAGGGCCATCTGCCTCAAATGCCTATGCAGAACCAGCAACAGCAGCAACAGCAACGCATGATGGCGCAACAGCAGCAGCAACAACAACAGCAGCAGCATCAACGGCCTCCACAACAACAGCAGCAGGGAATGCCACAGCAGCGTCCCCCACCGCAAAATCACATGTACACCTCACAGACTGATGGTTCGGGTGATGCTATGGCTGACTGGGAGGCCTTGAAGGCCGCACGCGCTGCTGATGCAGTAGAGCGCATGGCGGCGGACGACTTCATGCGTTCTCGCGTTGATGCCATGGCTATGCGTCAGGACAGTGGTCTCATGGTACCGCTCGATTCGATGCCAAAGGGCAGAAAGCGCAAGGCGGCTGTGCGTGTCCTGCAGGCCGAAGACGCAGAGGCCTCGTCAAGCGCACCGGTTCCTGCGCGCTTCGACGGTGACGACGACGTGAAGCCAGAAGAAGATCCGGATGACGCCATTAATTCTGATCTAGATGACTCCGAGGACGAACTTGGGGATGGCGATAACAGCGACGATGAAATGGTCGACTATATGCTATGCACCTACGACAAGGTCCAGCGCGTGAAGAACAAGTGGAAGTGCACGCTCAAGGACGGCATCTTGACCACGAACAAGAAGGAGTAAGTTGGGTGTTGAGACTTTGAAGAGATTTCACTAACAGTATGGAAGATACCTGTTCCACAAAGCAAATGGTGAATTCGAATGGTGAACATTCGCCACCCATTGCTAATGCCCGTGGTAGCTGAACTCGAGTTCTAAGTCGCTCCGTGCAGCGCACGAACCCCATTCGATCGAGACGCGAGTCTAGCACGCCTGATACACGACTCACCAAGCTCGATACCCCCTTCGCGACGATAAAGCGGCTCGGTACGAACATCGATAACGGGCATCAGATTGGATACTATGGCCTGGCGCGAGACTCGAGAAAGAAGAAAACAAGAAAGAAGCTGATTCCCATGACGCATTACATAGAACTATGGACAGGACGACTGGGCGTCCGGAGTACTCCTAGTTTACGCTATCCAGATTGATTTTGCACTCAGGTCAGGACTAGACGTTTGGCTGACCTCACGTGTCCAAGCACAGGCGTATGGACTCCATGGCGGGTTTATATTTCATCAGGTGGAGTTTTTCAGCTTGAGTAAAAGAAGGAATTGTCGAGTTCGGGGCCATGATCACAGCAATACGTCAGGACTTCTAAGTAAGAGACTGCCAAACAAAGGTTCTTGGTTGCTTCATCACATAAGACATTGTACGATTGTGGATTTCATTTCCTACTCTGTTCGGGTCTGGACAGACTAGCAAATATAAGAATTGGTAAAATCGGCATACGCTGAGCTCAAGCTCCCTGTTCTCTGCCAGTAGTGATGCCTATCGTACTCTCATAGCATATCATCAGCGCCACTCTCGCCATCGCTTCCTGGGCCATTGTGCATCAGGGTCTCGTCAACGTCTGCGCCCTCGGCCTCCTCGTCATCCTCTTCTACCAGCGGGACGAAGCGAAAGTCGACGAAACTCACTTGTCCGCCTGTTGCCCCTCCAGGCCCAGTTTGAGAAGCCGACCCACTACCTTCGACCTCAATCATGAACTGTAGACTCAACACGCCTTGGGTATCTGCTCGTATACTGACTTTAGTCGCAACGTTCATGGCGCGCGCAGCCTTTTGTATCAAGCTAAACTTGTAGGACGAGCGGAGTACGGCTTGTGGATCGCTGAGCTGAAAGGTCTCGAGCAGGTTGGTAGGTTTCTGATCTGCTGCCTCATTGTTCGTGTTGAGGTTCGTGGATGCAGGAGTGCGGTAGGCAGAGGGCTGGGGTTGATTGTTGAACTCGACGCGCGCTGAGCCTAGAGTGCCTGATGACGATAGAGCGAAGAAGGGTTTGCCGCGCACGGTTTTGGCGTACATGGTCAGCTTCTCTGGGCTTGTAGATGATAGCTCTTGCACTGCGTCATACAACCAGCTGCCTCGCATGATGATTTTCAGGGCGAGGGCTTGTCGATCGAAAGGTATTTCGTCTGTGTACTCTGGCTCGTACGTCGTGAGATCGCATTGCGTGCGTATGCTCGCCTCTGTTAAGGTGACGGCCAGTGGAGCGCCGGGGCCATCGTAGCTTATCCGACAGAGGTTGTTCATGCCGCCTAATATGTTGTTTCCAGTGAAGGCTGTGCTGGTGGGATATGCACCATCGCGCGCCCATGGTGGTTTGGAAGTGGAGGGGTCGGTGAGACCGAAGATCTGGAGGGTCTCAAGGAGAGCGGGAAGAGATATCTGAAACGCGGGAGTGGTAGTAGATGCTGGGTCGAGTTCATCGTCGCTGTCGGAGTGTTGTGAGTTCGGCGGTGGGGCGGGCGCGTTGAAGGTGTAGGTTGTGAAGAGAGACTTGTCGAGGAAGGCCGACGCTGTAGTCGTGTCAGAATTGGAATGTGCAAAGTTTTGTTGCGCATAGACGGTACGTACCCTCCATGACGCTCGCCTCGTCCACAGCAAGCTTCATGCCAATGTCGCTGATCTGGACATGAGCCTTGTTGGAGAAGGCGATGCAGCGGAGGAGGAGGTACAATTGTCGCGCAGAGCTCGACACTGCTGTGAGGATCGGGGGCTCTTCTTCGTCCATGGTGCTGTGTTGTGAGTGTGAGGGTACGGGCTATCGCGCAGGTAGATTCGAGAGTCTTGAACTTTTTATTGGTATTCCATAGATTGTACACAGTATGCCCCTAACGCCGGATGGAGAAGTAGGAAACTAGACGTATACGCCGACTGCACAGATCATGTAGACGGCGCCGAAGCTGTTTGCAGTCAGTGGGCGCATGTTGTAGCTGGGTTTCCGAGGCCACGTACCCGAATGCTAATGACGCGGGAACACCGAGAACGGGGAGGTTGATGAAGGAGCGGTCTGTGTGCGCATGAGTAGGGTTCGCTAGAGGGGCGTGGCTATGTCGCGTACTCAAGCCGAAGATGGTAGTCAAGATGAGAGCTGCGCGCCTTGTTAGCAGAGGTCCACTAAGCAGCAGAGCTTCCAACATACAGATGGCCAGCAGCACGAAGCCGACTGTAAACTGCGTGTTCTTTCCGACAGCAGGGCTGAAGGGCGAGGACGCGGCAGCCTCCCAGACGTCTACAAGTGGGCTCGACATGTGTGCAGGCGTGCAATTGGGTTATGTAAGTGTCTCTCTCTCGTGAAGCTGCTTTGGTGGCCTTTCGTGTTCACTCGCAGGTGATCGGCCGTGATTGGTGTGGGGCGACTAGCGCGGGAGGCGCAACTTCCCCGACATTCAGTCAACACCACGCACAGGGCTGAGAGAAGGCGCGACGGCACACAGAAGGCGCCCTACACTGCAACATGGCGGGCGCGACCGACGACAGTAAGTGCGCATACCCTCCTAAGCTTCATGCGTGTCAACAGACGTGCATCGTACCCACAAGCCTGGCATGTCTCCCCGCAACGACATCCCGCAGTTGCGCGACGTGTTGGGCTATCCCACCTCTCCCCCAACTTCACCACTGCTCGCTCCTCCCCCCATACCTCGCCGACACACCCGGCAGTCTTCTTCCAACACACGACTTCGCGAACTACAAGCTAACTCGTCTCGCGCTGAAGCTAAGCGCAAAGCGACGACCGACCCTCCCAACGGCTCTCCCAAGCGCATAAAGCAGGACCCCTCAACACCTTCTGCCGCCGACGATGCCCCCGCGCCTCCCGTGAAACGTATAGTGCCGTTCCCCGAGAAGCCCGCCGTCATAGAAGAGCGCAATGGGGAGATTGAATTCAGAGTGGTCAACAATGATGGGGAGAGGGAGAGCACCATCATCTTGACAGGCTTGAAGTGTATCTTCCAGAAACAGTTGCCCAAGATGCCAAAGGACTACATTGCGCGCCTCGTCTACGACAGGACCCATCTGAGCATAGCCATCGTGAAACATCCCCTCGAGGTGGTAGGGTATGTAAATGCTCTCGTCCCATGTTTGGCCAGACGCTGACAATGCAACGTTCCAGTGGCATAACATACCGTCCCTTCGATAAAGGCCAGTTCGCCGAAATTGTCTTTTGCGCCATCTCCTCGGATCAACAGGTTAAGGGCTACGGTGCCCATCTCATGTCCCATCTCAAAGACTACGTCAAAGCGACCTCGCAGGTCATGCACTTCTTGACCTACGCCGACAACTATGCCATCGGATACTTCAAAAAACAAGGCTTCACCAAGGAGATTACACTGGAAAAGTCAAGATGGATGGGCTACATCAAGGACTACGAAGGCGGCACCATCATGCAGTGTAGCATGGTGCCCAAGATAAGATACTTGGAAAGCGGCAGAATGCTCTTGAAGCAGAAGGAATGCGCAAACGCCAAGATAAGGGCCGTGAGCAAGAGTTACGAAGTCCACGCGCCGCCAGCGCAATGGGCAAAGGGCGAACTGAAAGCCATCGACCCCCTGACTATTCCTGCCATCAAGAACTCCGGCTGGTCACCTGTCATGGACGAACTCGCTCGCGCGCCCCGCCACGGACCCAACTACAATGCCCTTCTCCATCTCCTCAACGACATGCAGAACAACAGCAACGCCTGGCCGTTCCAACAGCCCGTCAATAAGGATGAGGTGCTTGACTATTACGACGTCATCAAAGAGCCCATGGATCTCGCGACCATGGAGGAGAAACACGAAAAGGATCTTTATCCTACCCCCGAGGACTTTATCAGAGATGCCAAGCTCATCTTCGACAATTGCCGCAAGTACAACAATGAAAGCACGCCGTACGCAAAGGCGGCGAATCGTTTGGAAAGATATATGTGGCAGCGAATACGTGACATTCCAGAGTGGTCGGTAAGTATTCAACACTTTCGTGCCTGACACAGTAACATCATGACTAACAAACTATCAGCACCTGGAAGGCGAGTTGACAGGCAAGTAAGAGGCTTGGGGTTCCATCACTCTGATTTCGCCGTGCATAGGGGGCGTTCGTTATGTGGGTTATGGCAACTTGTATTATCATCATCAACGGTATTGTTGTTTAGCGGCATTGGGTACGGTGTAAGGTGCATGGTATGGTAGTATTGGTTGAGGGTTCGGTCGGGCTGATTATACCCTTTGTCGTTACGTATTCGAATCACTTGTTCGTACTCATCTTATGAGAACATGCAGTGTGATACTGGCTCTGCAGCGAACCTGTGGACATGTGGTTGAGCAATCACATGGGGCGCAAAGTGTGATCAAGTGGCATACCGATGTTGGAATATTGATTTATCCATGTGGCCTATTTGCTATGTGAGCAGGCCTTCCCCATTACGTCGAGCACATTCTCAATTCGTCACTATTCACATTACAAAATACGTGACTACTTGTTTGCTCTCCGCATGAGGTTCACATCACGGGTTAGCACGCGGTAGTACCAAGCACACGTTCGCAAGGCTAGGTACGTGGGACCAGATTCTGTGATCAACCTAAACGAAAGCAGGTAGCCGTACGCCAAACCCGTGGAGATGTATGGTGCAATTGCACTATGCTAACATGTCGTGTCCCGCAACCTTATTGTGGCGTCCGTAGCGTTTGATGTACTCAGTTGATGAGGTTTGAATAAGGCTTCGCGGTTTAGCGACGGCGTATGGTGCTCGTCTACGTGACAGCC